AGTCATAGAATTGTGTTTGTGTTTAATTGCAAATACTGTGAATGTTTTTGAACTGCAGATGAAACTTAAACAAGTTCAGTCTCTTTTTTTTCCAGTCTCCCTAGATTACATTGACCCTGATGACTGAGGACCTAAAGACCCAAATCTACAGTATAATACGCACAGAGTATTATACTGTAGATTTGAGCACTGTCAAATGCTGAATATCTTGTCCGCTTATTTGTTCTTACAGTAACTTAGATTCCAGGTGGTAGGAAGATACAGCCTAGAGAAAACTTTGATTTCCAGTAGGAATTCCATTAAGCAGTGCTTATGCGTCACAGTAGATATTTATTTTACATAGCAATGCTATTCAGGTTTTTTTGTCAACAAAGAAAAATCCTGCACCTACAAGAGAAGAGGATGGTCAGATTATCTCTGTAGGAAAAGAGTTAGGCATGTATTTCTCATTGCCTAGCAACACTCCCATTGCCATGGCAACCACCTCTTGTCCTCCGGTCAGGCTTGTAGAGTTAAAGAAGGGGAGAAGAGAGCATTACATAACAGCAGGTCCTGATTGCATTTCCATCCTCTTCAATGCACATACCACACTCCAGAAATGACAAACTATTATTCTTTGTGTCTTCCCTGGTGGACTTTTCTATCCACTGAGCTTGTCACGGCGGTGGACGGACTCAGGCGCAGACTGAGGTAGCACAGCTCAACGACACTTTATTAATCACACTGGTGCACTATATACACGTGAAGGGGGGGGAAACACCAGGGTCCCGGGGATCAGTAGGCTGGGGAGACACACTTCTTCGCACTCGCTCTGCTCCTCGTCCAAACAGTCTCCACACAAGCAGCTCAGCTCATTCTCCTACTCACGGGGTCCAGGGGTCACAAAAGGGCTGATCCAGTCAAACCTGTTACACAGACGAGGGTAAGTCGAAGGCAAAACACGGGAACAGTAGAATCGCAAGGAAGCCAGGCAATACTAACGAGAGTTATTCAATATTCCAGCGACGAATAGCTCAGAGCCCCAGCCTTAAGAGCCAGAGAATTGCAATTCGCTCGAGATCAGCTGCAGGTGCGTGGGCCAAGGGCAGGAGCCCAATCAGAGCTCCGCCCAGGCAGACAGGTAGGAGACAGAGCGAGAGAAAAACAACAAACACTTGTGGCCACACTGGGCTGGCCGGGGAGGCACAGGGACCATGACAGTGCTGATGTGAAGGTAAGTTAAGGTTAAAGGTTTCTACTTCTTTGACCCAGGTGTCATCCACTTATCTTTACCAGTGGCAAGGTGTTGTCCCTACGAAAGATTCAAAAGCTCTTACTTTCCATTTCTTCTATGTAAGGTTTGGCTACGGTGGGTGACACTGGAGAGCCCATGGCACATTTATGTTTGTATCTGCATTAACCTTCATTGTATTTAGAATATGTGGTGAAGAGGCAGAGGCCTAACAGTGTGCAGGTCTGATCAGGGGTGAAGCTGGTTCTGTTTTCTAAGGATCTGTCTTGCTGTATTGATTTTCTGAAAGTCTCCACTCTCTCAGTTGTAGGTATGCGAGTGAAGTGTCAAAACACACTGGTCCATCGGGCTATTGTCTCCCCAGAAACACTTCCCTTGTGCTTTTGGAAATCTGTTTTTTCCTTTTTCTGCTTTGTTTTTTCCCTATTTCTGTTGTTGTTGTTGTTTTTTCCCTATTTCTGTTGTTGTTGTTTTTCCCTATTTCTGTTCCCTCCCTATTTCTGTTGTCGTTTTTCATATTTCTGTTGTGCTTTGTGTGCTTTTGCTGCATTTTTCTTATTGCTGGTGTTTTCTTAAGCTGCAGTCAGTTTGGCCTCTCGCTGCCACCATAAGTTATAGGTGTTTTGTTGTGATTTGGTGATATGTCAATACAATGGAAGGGAATTTATTTCAGCATTTTTTTTAAAAGCAGTCGCAGAGCAGATGATTTTGTAATTTAGTGAATGTTTGGAATGACGAAACGATAAGAAAAAAGACTGAGAATATGAACAGTAACAGATAGGATGCAGCAGGAGTGAGTTTGAGAACAAATTGGAATGGATTGGAAAATATTCTGATTTGCAGGAACGTCTCCACACACATCTCACTGGTCAGAGACTGCAAAAGGAGAGTGTTTCGGAGCATGGGTCAAGGTGTAATTATGTCAGTGCATGAGAAAAAACATCCTAACAGAAAGCTGAGCATTAAAATCAATCAAGTAGCGGTCCCCAACCTTTTTCGCGCCACAGACCAATTTAATGTCAGACAATATTTTCACGGACCGGCCTTTAAGATGTTGTGAATAAATACAACACAATAAAATGATACAATCAAGACAAAAACTGTGTTATTTTGTAAATATAATAAGAAACGCAAATTCACTGTGTAATTGTGTAACTTTATTAGCAGCGTCCTCCTGAAAATGCGCCAACAACATTGGGAGTAACATCCTCCTTTCTGCCCCTTAATGCTCTCTGGTTGTTATGGTAACGTAAATATTTCTTTCAAAATTAGACACACAACTACAAAGACCCAGAGAAACCTAGTTAATGATAAAAACCCAGAAAACCATACATTTCACACCCGAGCCTCAACTCTCGCAGCCTGGTACCAAACGACTCACTGACTGGTACCAGTCCGTCGCCTGGGGGTTGGGAACCGCTGATTCAGAGTATTTAGAAAGAAGTTTCCTTCAACTCTGACTGCTGAACTGTTGAACTAGGTCCTAAAAAACATGATATGCCATTAAACAGCAGCTACACAATCATTCAAAAGGTTTGGAGGACATAAAGAACAGGGCCTTTGTAAACACCCAAATCATGATCCTGGAAACCTGAAGCTGAAAAATCCATTACACATGTGTTTGAGTCTGTTGTTGAAACCTCATCGAACTCACTGGTGAGGAAAACTGTTCTATGACATCATCACTGCTACAGCAGCATACAGGAAGACAGACCTGTGACAGCTTTCCTGTGAATCTGATGCAGGAGCTAGAGCGTGTCTACAGAGCTAAAGCACCAGCTGAAGAAGAAGCTGTTATGGTGTCATGTGGCATTGTAGGCTATGCTAGCTTTGTGTCAGTAATTTTGCCGGAAGAGGAAACTGAACCTTTGTCAGAAGCAGCATTCAACATGTTGCTTGAATGTTCACACAGCAGCAGTCTGTCTCTGAGCTGTACAGCTCTTAACCTGCTACTCTTCTTCAGATGATGCACAATGCTGTGATTGTGTTGCCTCATTAAGAGAACTTGTGCTGGATTATCGTGCCATGAAAAGAGGGGAAAAAAAAACAGATGCTGGTTTGAAAGTTGAAAGTCAAAAGCATGTTACCTCACGTCGAGTGCCAGCAGTACAAGTTCAACATTAAATCTGAATATTGAACATGGATGGATAATTGATATGGATCTTTTTGTGCCTTTTATTGAGTTGTAAATTCTGTTTCACTGTAACATTTACCTTTTGGATGACAGCACAAAGACAGAGAGGAGGAGAGAGGGAGAGAAAGGGAGACAGCAGAAGCGACAAGATGGAGAAAAAAAAGAAATTTGATAGAGTGGTTACATGGCACCATAGTTGTAACATCTGGTGGAGAGTCCCAGATTTTAAGCACTATGGATGTGTCCCCAAGAAAGATGGTTTAAAAGAGGAGGGAAAGAAGCCATCTATGTCCACTGTGAATGACCATCTTTGAACAGAGGCGGTGGTTTACGACACCAACTGTCTGCCATCTATAATCCAGTTTTGAGATCCCTTCCCAGACACCTTAATTCCCACTCACATTCTGGGCCATTTGACCTCAATAAATCACATCATAGGATTGGACTGGTTTCACAATGGGTTCACCCGAAACTTTGGCTGATTGTGAATCACAGCCGTTTTCCCTCCTTGGTTTGTGTGATTAGGCAGAGGATCAATGACCATGACCCTCTTGGGGACACTCCCAAAGGCCTAAAATATGGGACTCTCCACCAATTGCTCTTAGAACTGAAGAAGCTTCTCAGATGAGAGGTGAAACCTCTTCAAGGAAACTTAAAGCAGTCCTCATGTTTTAATTTCCAAGCTCCTTAGATTACACTTGTTGCAACATCTTCAGAATAAGACTCAGAATCGGAATACTTTATAAATCTTGTGGCACAAAGTTGCATTGCATACCTAGTTTGACTCTAGTTTGAGGCCCTGAGTTGTAAAGGAGATGAAATTCTGGCCTTTCAGAGCTGCAGTAAATGTTCTGCTTTGTTTCCAGAAACTTGCAGCCTAATGTTAAAAAAGAGCGGATACAGTGGGGAAACACTGTTTTAACAAAACAGTGGAGATTTTGTTAAAGATTTAAAATGAGAAAAAAAATCTAAAATAATAAAATAAATTACAAACTGTATAAGTATCTTTGTTCTTTTTTTTGCATCAACCTTAGATGAAGATAAAAATATTTTAGAATGATTTCTTTATGTTTCTGTATGTTTTAGATAACAGAACAACTTTTCTCAGAATTCATACTGAACACAAACACTGGACAAAAGTAGACCTCAGCTGCAACATTTTATTTTGTCCCTGACCTCCAACCAGTCGCAGCAGACTGCCACCCCTCCCTGGGCCTTGTTGTGCTGGAGGTTTCTTTCTGTTATAAAAGAGACTTCTTCCTTCCCACTGTCGCCAAGTGCTTGCTCACAGGGAGTCATCTGATTGTTGTGGTTTGGTGCTTTATAAATACAACTGAACTTAACAGAACTTCACATTTCATGTAATGTGTGTTATTGTACTATCAAACTATGAGTACTGTTGGAGTAATGACCCTGGTGTCCTTAATGATAAAAAGATAAATGTTGTTTATTTTGAGAGCTGAATTTTTGTGGTTCTGAATATCATGACAATATGCTCCTCTCACTTTACCTTGACACCCGACCGTTTCAACATTCACTTCGGAAATTAGTCAGACCTCTGTCACATTTAGCTCACACCATCCAGTTGATCAGTTTGTGATTATTTTATTATTGAAGGCAAAATTAAGAGTGAATCAGAAAAAAATATTTAAGGCAATCAGTTTTAAATCAGTTTTACATTTAGAATAAAGGCCAAATATATCTAGACACCACAGACCACAAGTTGACATGTCTTGAATAAATCTGATATGCATGTAAAATCAGTACCTGTCTTTATATTTTTGACCATACGTTGCACTGGCTATTGATTGATCTTTTTGATTAATAATTGATTCATTACACAATTTATTTAAAGATAATAGACGCTGATAGTATTTGATGTCAGTGATTTCCTCCATTCAGCAGCATTCAGCTTTCATCTGCAACTGAAAGAAAATTTAATTTCAGAGTTTCAATACCGAACTACAGTGTTTTAGAAAAGAATCAGTGTTTTTTCCTGAACCACCTAAAAGCACGGTGTCTAAGAGCAGATTCACATTTTCCTCTCAATGTTGAATGTGCTTAACTTTTTGCTGTTATAAATGCTAAAATTAAAGAGCAGGAAAAAAAACAAATCTGAATTACTTACAGTGACAGCTGTAAGCCACCTCCAGGTACTTGTAGATGCCATAACATGGTTCTCCAAACACAGAGCCGCTCACTTTGACAGTACAGCTGCTTTTCCCGTTACAACTGTGGATTCAGGCAAAAGTGAGTTGGCAGAGGCCAACTATATGTTGTGAAGAGAAGATATAAGGCTGAAGAAAGAGAGTTGGCAACTGTACCTCTCGGCTACTTTGTTTATTTGCTTTGAGCATTGGACATTTTGGAGCTGAGAGGCTGGACGATTGAAAGAGCATGTAGTTGCATCATGACGTCCGTAATCAGCTCTGTGAATAAGTAAAACCTGTCCTTCATCTGATGAAGAGCAAACATTAAAGATTTAAACACGTATTTAATTTTAACTTCATTTGTATCTTTATCAGATGAATCCAGAGACACACAAAGAAAGAGGAACTGTGCTCTCACCGCACTGAAGGTTTGCCAGAGAATCATCACATGTCACACTGTGGACTGACAAAGTGACAACAAGGAACATTAGAAACATGGACATTCACAGATTTGACTGAATATTAGTTTCTTATTACAGATGTAATTTACTGGCTGGGAAGCAGGCGTAGGTGGTGTCCACGTATTTGTAAATGCCGTAGCACGGATCAGAAGAAGTATGGAAGAGGACTGGATTTATTTCACATACCTTCTGACCATCACATCTGCAGGGAGACAAAGGTGGGTTAAAGTGATCAATTAATGATTGATATAAAGTGCTCAGATTTGTGTACCTGCTCTTGACAACCTTCAGGGCGCCATCCTGGGAACATTGTGTATTTTTAAGCTGGTGTGCAGGTCTCCCCTCACTGCAGGTTTCTGCATCTGTCCTTCCGAACAGAACTGATTGCACAATGATCACTCCATTCTCTGTTTTACAGAAAGCATGGGAAAGAAAGTTCAAAAGGAGGAACTCATGAGAAATGCATAAGGTGTGCAGCACAAGAGGAAAACCCAAGGCTCTTTATGTTTTTCAATAATCAGAAAATGCCTTCATTTCTGTAGATCTGGGGTATTACATTGAATCTGAAAGATCATATGAGTCACAAGCATAAACTGTAGTTTCACTAAATAAAGCACAAAAAGAACTGAAACCTTAACAGGTTATCCTCCTCAGCAAAGTGTTTACTGAGGTCAGAGATCTGCAGGGGGTAAGCTAATTATCTTACAGACATAGAATCAGACTTCTGTTTACAACCAGAGAAGCCGTCTCCTGCTGGAAATGAGAAAGAATTGAGATTACCTCACAACTGGGTTTATATTTGAGTGATAGCAAAGAGCTATAAAAAACCTTAAACATAGAGATTATTTTCATGTTACCACAGCTCAGGCGTTGTACACTGTCGAGGCTGTCACAGGTGATCACCCTCTCTGTTGACACTGGGAAGTGGGCTAAAGGACCAGTTCTAGGAAAGCCTGAAATGGAAAATAACTCCATAATTAGTAAGTCTTGGATAAATGAAGCATACTACAGTAGGGCCTTTATTCATCTGTTTGCTCCTAAAGCAAATATGAACGAATATAAAATATAGCACCGCTATAGCGCTTTGGAACGGGCGAGGTGCCCACGGCAGCACCTGCTGCTGTTTGAGAGTAAGAGCGATACGCGCTTTCAAGTCAAAAAGTCGTCATAAATAAGTCTCCAATAACACCAGAAAAAGTCGCCAGATTTGTCTCTAGTCGCTTTTTAGAAAAAAAGTTGCTCAGTCGCTCGTTAAATATAGCGTCCCACACCCAGACAGTAAATGCTTTTTATTATGTGTGATAAACAGGATATTAAGGCAATTGGTCAAAAGTTGGAGGAAAGTCACAGTTCTCCTCACTTGGCTGAGATCCAGCACACATCTCTTCCGCTGCAACTTTCTCGGCATCACCTTATTGTAGATGCCGCTTCACCCATTACCATGGCAACCACCTCTTACCTTCTTGCATAGGAATGCATAGGTCTATACCAGGGGTCGGCAACCCTGGGTACGCGTGCCAGTCGTGGCACGCAAAGGGTTAACTGATGGCACGACCATAGCTGGACTGGCCATCGGGCATACTGGGCATTTGCTCGGTGGGCCGATGGTGATTTTCCGTTTTTATGGACCGATGATTTTTTTTTTGTAACGGTATAAATAATGAAAGGTGGTGGATTGGCCAGATGTTGGCCGGTGTGTGAAAATAACTCAGTTGTTTGGTGGCGGATATGGCGGGGCTTCCACAGATTCAGTAACATTACCAAGTGGTGGAGACCAGCAGGTGGATGAGAGAAAGGGGAGGCAGGAGGAGGGGAGGCAGGAGGAGGAGAGACCGAAGCGGCTGCTGGTCCGAGTGTCAGGTGAACTGAACTACAGGTAAGAAGTTATGACCTGCAGTCTATCTGGGTCAGATATAAACCAAGTTTAGGTGGAGTTTATTTTTGTTATTGTAACTGACTGTAAAAAGTCAGCTACAATAACTCGTACTGCATGCTAGCTAGCATACAGCTGGGTGGGTGCTATGATGTTACTGATGGTGAACTTTATTTTATTCATGAGGTTAGTTAGTAGAGTTGCCAACCGTCCCGTAAAAAGACGGAATCGTCCCGTATTCAGAGAAAATATTACGCGTATTGAGGTGAAAAGGAACAGTTTGTCCCGTACTTCAGCTAGGATGAAGCACGTTTTATTTTCTGATCAAACCAGAAAGCTTTAATGAGCAGCTAGATTTGTCTCGCATTAACTGGCTGAGTTAATGCCAGTTAATGCAACATCGAAGCAGCTGGAATCCACAGCTGTGCGTGTTCATGGAGCTTGCATTTTCACCTGCTGGACATCACTATCTGACAAGTTTAACTGTCTTCAGAACATTGCAGAGGCCAGTATTTGGCTCTACATATCTATGTGAACAGATTTTCTCTCACATGAAGAGTGCAGTCTGAATGCTGGACACTCGGAGACCTGTGTCTCTGAGTGAGAGACCAGAGATTAGAATGTATTAACAAACATGCCATATTGGCCCAGTTTATTTTTCTTATCATTGTTGTGAGGAGACCATGAATAGCATTTGCATTTTCTGTTGTACAGTTCATTTGCTGTTATGGAGTTCTTGTTATGGATAAAAAGTGTCTTTTTTTATTTTTTTTTGTTTCAAAATACTTGATAACTATTTGCTGATAGCTGCAAACATCTCCGAACAAATATAATTCTATAAAGTGGTTCTATATATTGTGTAACTGTTAATATAGAGCGTTATTAAATTTATTGCTAATGCAATCATATGGCACACTGACTTCTGAGGAAATTTTAGATGGCACACGTCATCAGAAAGGTTGCCTACCCCTGGTCTATACCCAACACCATAACAGCACCTGATATATGGCCTTGTCTTGTGGGTACCACAACCCCATCCACATTCTTGTGAAGTGGGCTGAGTCTGTTAGTATCAGAGTGAATCCTATTCTACAAACTATTCTATTATTCTACTAACTATTCTACAATACACTGTGTGCAGTAAAGAATAAAATGTGTGATGCTAATTGTGAGATATTAACCTTAAAGATAAAATAAATAAAAATACAATAAAAAATAAATAAATAAAATAAATCCCAACAGTATCAGTGTTCTTCTTGAATGAATTCTGAGTAAGTCTCATGTGTAATGTAAATGGCTGAGCATGATGCAGGTGAATCAGAAGTAACTTATGGTAGCGACAATGGGGACGTGTCCCTACCGTTTTAATGACTACCAAAAGCTACTACCACTAATTTAACATCAGTTTCACAGGGAACTATTATTGGTTACTGAAATGTTCCTATCACTCAAGACCTCAATAAATCAAATAGAGTTTCCAGAGTTTAACTAAAGGATTAATCCCTAATGGTAATGGGACTAAAAACCTATCAGAGGTTCTTGTTGTTAGTGGCTTATCACATTCAAGTTTTCACACAGCACAAAATTCACCATATTGTACATAAAGCATAACCAATTTGCAAATCCAGGGTACCTCTTTGGAAGAAACTTGGAGTATGAAGGAGTCTTAGGGCCACATCAAAAAGAAAAATATTATTGTTCATTTTGAGAGAAAAGAAGAAATACAATGAACAGATGTAAGGATAGCAATGGATACAGCCCCATGCAGTAAAGAGGGTGGATGTTGTATCACAGACACAGTAAGTGCTGAGCATTTGCAATTTAATTTTGAAATTTTGACTGTAATCTCAAAGTGAACAATATTACTTTTTATGTGGTCGTAACACTCCATCGTACTTGAGTGAAAGCACAGAACAATGGGTTTAAATGACTAGTGTGGCTAAAGTATTGGGATAAAAGAAAGGCACATTTGGATAAAAATTGCTGAACATTTAACAATTACCTGAAGTCATGAGTACACATGTTGCTGCAAGCACTGAAACACAAAAAAGAAACCTCAGTGTTAGATGGTGCATGAACTACAGCTGATTTATTCATTTATCTTCTGTATTAAGTTAACAGTGTTTCAGATGGACTTTAATTTACCTCAAAACACAAATGACAATAAAGAAAACCCAAAGAAAAAATGGATGTTAAATACACCACTTACTGATCAAACAAAAATCATATAAATGATACATTAAGAACAACCTTTTGGGTGGAAAGATTTTTTTGTACTCACACAGTGTGCTGCTGAGTCTGGAGGACAGCATGGTGTTAGAGCTGGTTTCAGTGAAGAGCTGAGCCGATGGTGCAGCAAACCAGGGACCTGATTTATTTATACTGTTTGACTAAGGCAAGATGCCAAATTATTTCTCGTAATGTGCAACATCCTGAAACAGGAAACAGGATTTCACCTTAGATAAACGCCAAAGACAAACAGAATACACAAACTCAAAAAAGATACATATCTGATGGAAAATTTCGTATCCTGTGACTGCCTGCTGGCTCCTCACGCACCTCGTCCACCACCTCCGGTTGCCAAGGTGCCCCACGCAGCTCCTCCACCTCTTCCCCAC